ATATGCCAATATTTATGTTGGGTATTATATTGCACTGGGTCAAAATTTGCTGACGTGTCAACGTTCTTGCAACCTGACAAGGACCCACGCCGAGAAAATGCATCAGCGCTTCACGTTATTCATTATTATGTATCGCATGCTTGTGGGCACTATTTCATGGTAACCTTATGAATTGACTGTCATTCCGCGCCATTCGTCTATGTTGAAATCTCCGCATAAACTTGCATACGCCTCGCGGCCAATCGCACTGACTTGACTTCTATCAAGGTGTCGTGCTAGGCAACATTACTGAGGGGTAAAATTTTCGAACAGCATCATCTGTATGCATTGGCTCAACCATCCATCAATGTGTACTACAATCCACAGCAGGTGTCGCCTGATCCTGAACTCTTGCAGTAACCAGAGTCATGAAGCTGCGCACTCGTGACGAGAGTGCTCAAAAGTACCGGCGTTGATCCACCGCATCGATTGGAGCCGCCTGCAGTAGCACAACCAGTTGAAACATTACCTTCAGGTGCAGTAGGCAGCGTGGGCTGTGGATGGCAGTAATTAGAATAATTGACTTCGACAAGCAAGGGTGGAACGTACTGACTTGAATTAGATGGCTGTCCGGTGTAATTAATTCCTAGACAGCATAGCTTTATACCTGAAGGAGATTTTCTCACATTCTTCTGAAATTAGCATGCTATAAACGATTTTTTACATTCGTATTGAGCCAATGGTGATAGTACGAAAGACATGTTTGAAATTTTTGGACAGGTGACGAAAAGAAACTGACAGATGTGATGAAGAACGGAGACTTTACAATTTTCGTAGGGTCATCACTCCGACCTCGAAGACAAGGCTGTATCAGCCCCACGGGGGCCCAACTATGGCGTTATTGTCGTCCAAATTGAAGCATTCCACCGTTGGAGGTATTTACGGGTCAAGTCCACAAGGAAAGAACCTGCACACCTGAAGTACTCATCACATGTCTTCGTTTCAAAAAAATATGAGCATACGGCACAGCTGATAGCGCGCACTGGCGCCACGGCCGCGCCAGAGGCCTCCCTCAACTTCAACTTGAAGTCAACGCATGCAAGCAAACGCGTGACGGTCACATAACCCTATTTCGTGATGTCACGCATCACGCGACGCCACTTCGCGAAGACAAAGTTCTCCGAACCTCTTGAAACTTCAAATTCTCTACTCTAACGTCTCAGAATATCGGGCGTATGGCGGAGCTGGTAGCGCGCATGCTTGGCGAGAAGACGGAACGGAAAAGCTGCGCAGCAGCTTTTTCGTTTCGTTTTCGAGGCAGGCATGTGTGCTCCAGATGTTTATGAGCTCTATGACCCGATGCAGTGAGGATGGGTGGCTAGACGCGCCAGTGGTGGTGTTGCGTGTTTCCGTTTATGGGTCGAAAGATTCCATAACGGGATCTTGCTTCCGTCGACGATCCTTCTCAATCCATCCATCAGATACGCTTCTCTGCCATGTCGACGAACGTTCCTGACGCGTCAATTGTGCTTCTCTCCACGGCTGGCCTCCTCAACAAGCAGCAGTCCCACCACCGCGCGTAGCCAGTACAGGCAACAACGTACACCATCGAGACCTATGCTTTCAGCTAACGTGTCCACTGTCCACCACAGAACTTCACGCGAAGAATCCACGAGAATGTCGCGTCGATCCCGAATCTTATCATGATATCTTGCTTCTCCAGTTATTCGGGTGCGACACTTCCGTTGCGACACTTCTGCAATTGCACCTCCGCGGTACAGTGGATTTCTGACGGCGACGATCCCCAACGCGTTCTCCTATAATACAACGACTGTTGTGCACGCTCTCCAACCATGGCCAAGGGCAAAGCAAAGCAACCAACTTTCCTGGTGCCCGACACTCCCGCCTCTGCGTCGCGCAGACAGCCCATCGCGTCGACGAGCGCCGCCCCGGACACAGGTCCCACTCCCGACACCACCCCCACCCCCATCAAGCGGTCTCGTGCTCAGCCTCCGCCTCCGTCTCCCCCACCCGACTCCGGTTCAGCCAGCGACTCCTCCATATCATCACTTCCCTTAAAATCGATCCGAAAACGAAATATCGGCCAACGGCGCCAATTCACCCAACAGCTACTCGAACAGTTCCCTACTGATGAAGACTTTCTCGCCGACGTCGAAAAGGGCAATGTCTTCCACATGCGCCCCATTGCCCCTACCACGGAATTACATCATGAGCAAGCAAAACACTACTGGATCGAGTATTTCACTCGGAACTACAAATCCAAGGAGCTCGCGGAAAAGTCCCTCGAACGCGGCGCCAAGCTCCCATCGACTGCCCTCATTAAACAATTTGTTAAGAATATGGCAATAGGCGGAAAATCTTGTTTCGATGGCAAGTCCGGGTGGTCCATGTCCACGACCAAACAGTTTGCCTCGCATATGTGGGGCATGCTGGCAAGGGCGGGTGTCGAGCTTCCCACCGCTGATGCAAAACAGCAGATTCTCCATGTACGTATCCTTGCTCTTTCTTTATCCAACCCCTCACGTGGCATCCAGGCCATAGCAAACTGGCAGGCAAAAGTCGAAAAAATCCTACCGACCAACAAACAACGCAAAGCTATTGTACGTGAACAAGACTTTGCAGATTTCATCGCCATGACGTTCCACCCGACACTGAATATCGCGAATAACGTATCAGTAAGTTTTCTTATCTGGTCGCACGTCACATTCCCACCTCCCTCGCAGCGAATACAACTACACGCCTTTTCCGGCGTTCTCTTCATCAAAGGCCAACGACCCGGCTCGATTGTCGAAGCAGCGTGTTATGAAGGATCGAACGAATGCGTACGTTGGGGGGTAAGTCTTCCTTTGCTTCTCGCAGATCACGTCGTCACCGTATTTTTCCAGGATCTAGAGTTTTACGCGGTTGGTTGGGATGAGGATGCGGGTTTAGCCGTCTGTACCTTCTGGATGTTCCATTTCATGAAAGGAATGCGTATGGTTGACGGTGAATAGTGAGTTGCCCGCCAATTTTGTCTGCCTAAACTTAACCTTCCATAGTACTTGTTCCACTACGCGGTCATTACCGCGCAACCGAGCCGTTCTCGATCCTCAGCTCACCATCCTCGCCCTCGGCATGTATCGTGGGGTCTTCAAAGAGGACGTCCTTCAGCCGCTCGCAGAACCCAATCCACATGCGGCGTACCCATTGCGCATTCATGTCAAGGATGAATTTTTACCTAAACCTGTCTGGATCGGTGTGAACAACAAGGAAAAGGCAGCGACGGTGGGGGATATGACCAAGCTTTGTCAGAAGGTCGCGTCGCGTTTGGGATGGCGAAGTAAGTCTACATCCTCTCGTATGTCACGCTGATGATGCTCATTTCGTGCGGCAGACTTTAGGATGCGGTCATTTCGATACGCTGCAATGTGTGCAACCTGCTAATACTGAAAGCGGACGAAGCTGCGCTCGATCGTCATTTTGAGGAATGCTATGAGCGGCTCATGTCTTACTGGGAGTTTGACGGCGGCGAGCAAGACTCCGATTCCTCCGACGACTCCGACGTTGCTGACAACGAAACTACGTAAGTTGTCTTTTCTTTTCTGTGCGCAATTATTGATGCAATACCTATCTTCTCCGTAGCAGTGCCCCAGCCGGGAAGACGAAGAAGACCGCCAACGCGCTGACGGAAATTCCCATGGGCAAGCGACTGTAGGCCATGAGATCCACCCGCTTGTCCGCTTTGACTGACATTTTCCGCGTACATCAGCGGTCCGAGCCGCTTCACGGTTCAGATATCCTGCTCATTCCTGACCAACGGAAACACGCTGACGCGATATATGTGCCCTGTATGCGTTTTCGATGACAAGGAAAAATGGACCCGTCGTTTCTCGTTCGTTGCCCTGCCACCGTCCTACCGGGTGTCACTAATCTCATCTTTAGCGTTGAAAACTACGAAGAAAATTTGTTGTTCCACCTCGCCACACACGCGACACGGCGCGCTGTCACCGCCCAAACCCCACAAATCGCCTACGTTCGTGAATTCCCCTGCAAAATCCCTTCATGTGAATCCACGGAAAAGTATGTTGCTCATTGCTTTCTTTGTGCCATCATCCAAATGGATCTACCCCAGATTTCTTGTCGGTGACTTCTTTGGTCATCTTCACAATGTGCACAAATTCCATCTCGTGCTATGTCTCCAAGACCACCAGCACCCAATGAACGAATACCTTAGTTTGCCGCCGGATTTCATGCACCGTGGCGACGCTCAAGCATACCTCGAGTATCATGGCAGAGCGCTACCTCTGACATGCTTGATCGATTGTCGTAAGAAGAAGAAGCGAGAAGAAAAAGCAAAAGATATCGCGGCAGAGGCGGAGGCTTTGGGAACCTACGTAACACCACCACCACCATCACCCGCTGAACCCGACATTCTACCGGCCGAGGTCGATCCACTCGGACACTGCATGTCCTCCTTTTCATCGCTTTTTCCCGACCGTGTCGATCCCGCCTAACTGCGTGCCGCCTTTGCCTCAAATGATATGTCATTTGACATGGTACGAGAATGCAACGCCCCCTCCATCAAGGATATCACTGGTCTGTCCGTAGGCCTGTCCTTACGTCTACACCTATTCGTGCAGTCATGGGTTGAGGAGAGCGGTCTCGCGGCAGCCGACCAAATACCACCACTCTATGTCGACGACAACAACGCACTTTTGGACGCCATACTCAAGGTGGTTGGAGGTGATGTAAAGCTTGCTGATAGCATCCGCAAAGCTTATGTAGAGGCGGACATGACCACGACGCTGACGGCGTTCATCGACACGGCGGAGTTGGCCAAATTGACGGGATTGACTCATGGGAAGGCAATCGGCCTAAAGTCAGCATGTTCAGTAGCACGATCCACTTGAAATCAACGTTGTATGACTACCACACCAGTTGTTTGAAAGAAAAAAAATGACCATCACGTTAAAAATGCAATACGGCGTCACTGAAAAATGTTCCACAGCAAAAAATGATCTTGGACGAATTGGGACTTGAACCCAAGACCTCATGCAGCTTATCTTACATAATTCGTGGATTTGCTAAGCATGCGCGCTACCAGCTGCGCCATACGCCCGATAATTTGAAGGGTTAGAGTAGAGAATTTGAAGTTTCACGACGTTTGGAGAAATTTTCTTCGCGAAGTGGCGTAGCGTGATGCGTGACATCGCGAAATAGGGTTGTGTGACCGTGATGCGTTTGCTTGCAGTTAACTTGAAGTTGAGGGAAGCCTCTGGCGCCAGTGCGCGCTACGAGCTGTGCCGTACGTAAGGTTGCCTGCATGAGGTCTTGGGTTCAAGTCCCAATTCGTCCAGTATCCGTTTTAATTTTTTTCGGTTTGGTACTGTTTCATGACGCTGTATGGCAGTAATAATGTCGCGGTTATATTTTCCTTCGAACAACTGGGTGTGCTAGTCACGCAACATTGGTTTCAAGCAGATGGTACTACTTTACAGGTCAATTATTTCCCTTACAGTCAATTGCGATGTTGATGAACGCCGTCAGCGCCATCGTCAAGTCCGCCTCCGCAATAGCCATGGGATGCTCTCAACAATTTCACATAACCTTTCACATCAACCCCTACCAACCTCTGTATTGTGGCCAAGAGTGCTCCGTTGTCGTCAACATTGAGCAGTGGAATTTGGTCGGCTGCCGAGTATCCGATGACTATGAACCACAGCATGTATCGCCTGACCTTGAACTCTTGCAGCAGCCAGAGTCCGGGGGCTGCGTAGTGTTAATGGGTGTATTCAAAACTATTGCCGCTGACGCAGCGCAGCAATTAGGGCCGCCTGACGAATCGCAACCGGCCGAAACATTAGAGTCGGGTGCCGTAGGTGGTGTAGGCTGTGGATAGTCGCGCCTATAGATTAGAATAATTGAAAAGTAAGGATGGAACATACTTGAACGGGGTGGCTGTCCGGCGTAATTTCTAGACAGCATGATTTAATGCCTGAAGGCGATTTCTCACAACATTTCTTCTGCACTGAACCACAGCATTTCTTCTGAAATGATGATGTCAGAAAGAAATTTCGTACAATAGATATCACAACCACTTACAAGATCCCGAACGCTTGCAATGTCAGCTTCTACTTCACCCAGCTTGGATTTTTCCGAACAGCAATCACAACTATCACTTCCCATCTCTCCCAGTTCCGCTGTGGCTGCATCGAGTCGCGTTCCAGGTGTATGACAATCTTTACAACAGCCTCCATCAAATGCAGGATCGCGAACCCACTTAATCATCTTCCAACCCTCCCACCCGAACAGCAAACCCAGAAACAACGAAGTCGCACTATCGACCCACCATCCCCCGCACCACAATCGAAATATCAACGATCCCGCGAAGAGCACGAGAGTAATTTGAATGCACGAGAGGGAGCACGTCGCTTCGCCTTGCATGGCGCTGCTGTTGAGTGTGCGGGCCAGGTACCGCTTGGGGAGCCAGATGAATATCATGATTACCAGTGCAGAAGCAGAGATGATAAGAGATGCGTTGGATAAATCGGGCTCTTGGTGGAGTGCGAGAGCGACAATGGCTGTTATTTCTGTGCCGAGTGCGAGAGCAAGAAGAAGGCCGCCTATGCTTCCTGTTGCTACTCGTTCGATTCTGTATCAAATTAAGAAAGGCAGGAGCACCGCAGCGCAATTTCACAGCAATTACTTGAGAAATACCTAAGCTCCCGTGGTGAAATTGTGACAGCTTTCTCCTCCCCAGGTTTCGCCACATTGCGAAACCTCCAGAGCACGATGATCGCAGAGGCAACTTCGATAGCAGATTGTATGCCGAAGAACACAAGAGAGCGAGAGGATGACTCAGATCCGAAGCCAATTGAGACGCCGCCTTCGGCGCCGTTGTACACGACGCTGATAATGCTGATGATAATCGCGCATTGTTGGAGGAAACGATATGAAGGCATGAAGGAAGGAGGTAGCCAGTGAGGTTCAAGGTGATGTGGATGTAGCTAAACGGCTAATTGCGGATGAAAGGCTTCGGCCGCCTGATTCCAGGTTCTCGAGCAATTCTCAAGCCTCGTGTGCAAATGCTGCAGTTGTATTCGAGAACATCTTGGCAAGTGAGTGAGCTGTGGCTGTGTCGTGCCTTTTCGAGACGTCCTTGCCACAAGCGCCACCAGTCACTTACTATACTTTCACCTTCCATCGAATGGTGCAGATAGCCTGAGCCCAAGATGCGAGGTGCTTAGTCCTTCATGGAATGACTGCCTAATGGTCTTGAATGATGACAGTCCTTGCAACTTGCAAAAGTTGAAGACCGAGACTCTACTTTCATCACCGGCTTTGCGATCCTCCTCAAGATACCTCTGCTCTGTCGAACATGTCGATTCCCATGCGAAACATCATAGATCGGGAATGGATATACTTCAACCCTTCCTGGGTAGACCCTCATACGCGTGGTAATCTCAGGCATTGCCAGCCTCTTTTTCCAATGGCGAGTGGCTGACAAGATAGACGAGATCCGTTCGAACGACAACTTAGGCATTAAACCAACCACATCGGCATTATCCCACAAGCTCCATCATGTTCCTTTCTTTGAAACTCGACGGGCAATCTCTCAACCGCCCAGGACCGCCATACGCTGGAGATGCCGTCGGAAAAGGCGACAATGCATTGCCGAGCAATGAGACTCGTGTTCTGGGCAGTACGTGGACAAAATTGACATATGTGTGCTATTCGCAAGCTTACTGGTTGATTGGCAGTCGGCGCTGTTGTGATTGGAGCCGTGTTCTTCAGCGCGTTCATGTGGTGCTACGCCTACCCTCTGATCGCTGCAAGACGTCGACACAAGAGACGGTCGCTGGCAGAAAAGGCTTGGAAGGAAGAGAGGTGGAGCATCGTGGATCGGCGAATCAGGAAACCATTCACAAACTCGACCTCTGCACCGACCACCAATGACGCGGTTAAGGCTGTGCTCACGGAAAAGGGCCGAGTGCTCGCAACATTCGATATGGCTACGGTTTCCAGCATGCCTTTGTCTTCATCCCTCCTCTTGCCACTTGGTCTTCAGAACGTTTCTCAGTCCGACGAAGAAGCTGATGATGCGTCTGTCGACGAGAGATTATGCGAGGCGAAGAGGAACTCAATGTCAAGCGTAAACACTGGAGTATCCCTTTCTCGAGTCCCATCGTTCACCGGCCTCCCGCCTCTGAAGCCACTGGCACCGATCGTTGTGCTCTCGTTCTCCCAGGAATCACTCAGAAACGGAGAAGTGCTAGTCTCGCCAACGCTCCCAAAGCAAGCACTGCTTTCCCCTTCATCTGTCACGGAAACATTGAACAGGGATGAAACGCGGCAACTTGATGCGAATAGCGATGTGGATCAGCGGCTGTCTGCCTCTCGCGAAGACCCTGCCATCAAGTTATGCGCCGCTCCGATAACACCGTCAAAAAAGCAGAAGGTTTCGTTCGCCAGCTCTCCTCCTCTCCCTGTTTTCACAGCACCGAGGGCCTCGAAGGCTCACACCATCGATGACACATGCGACGACAAAGTGACTCTGAGTCTGAGTGCGACGTCAACGGACCCTTTCGAATCGTACGAACCGCCCATTCTGACTCGGGCCTATCTGTCACATTCGTCGACGAACACTGCAAGGTCTATGTCATCGAGGGCTTTTGACTCGCTGCTAGGTTTATTTGGGATTCAGTCTAGGGTGGGAAAGGAGGAGTTGAAGAAACGGAATATGAAGGTTTTCTTGGAGGAGTGTCGAGGGCTTGATCTTTCTTCCGTCGTTGGTCATGATCAGTGGAACGACCGCGGTTTTCATAGAGCCTGACCTACCAGTGTATTATCAAAGTTGAAATGTAAAGTAGAGACTCGATCGGTTCGAAGTCAGATTTATTAAGTTGTGTTATTCGGCCCGTATGCCGTAACACCACTCGGCTATTTTTCTTCCGTCAAGTCACTCAAAAAAGGAATCGGCACCGCGCCATAACTTGGCAAGGTAGTTCGCTTCCACAACTTGGAGACGGACCACCTCATGCCTGCGTATCAATTCGAATCGGCCATCTTCCTCGTTTCTTGCGCAGCCGTCAGCTTGCTCGTTTTCGTCCTGTCGAGACCACAAGATGGCTCAATCAAGTTGCCAACTTTCGAGGAAGACGCGGAAGGCAGCTTTGAACTCGCCGGAGAGAAGAGTGATCCATTTAATGTGACAAAACCGGAGGACCTTGTAGATGGTCAACCTATAGATGAGAAGGGCTTTTGGGAGAATGTACGCATGGGTTGTTTGTTTGGAAATGGTTTCTGATAACTGAGTGTTAGATGCACATACGAAAACTCGTTCTTTCATTTATTCTGGCAATCATTGTGATCGTTCAAACAATCGCTCTGGGATGGACTATTGCGTCGGACGGATCCACCAAAGCCATCGCCACAAGAGTCCTACATGTTACCTTCGCTGTATACTCCCTCAGCGTGTCCATCATGTCTATCAAACATACCGACGTGCCGGTCCATTGGAGTTCTATTATACACCTCTCATCTTTGACTGCACTCGCATGTGCTGTCCTCGGAGTTGCAGCCATTTTACCAACAGACGATTCGCCACGCTCTGTACTCAGCGCTCTGTGGTACGCTGCACTTGCTCTTTATTTCTTCGCTGCAGCTATCTCCGTCCGAACCAAGCGAGGACCGAAGCTTCATTTTTCCTCTGAGCTCATCTACTCCGAGAAGACAATAGCCAGCGCCACATCGGTTGTCGAAAATAATGTTTGTGGCATTACAGGTAAGTGTAGTGTCATTTCGTATCATTTACCACATATCCACTCTATACACACGATAGATGCTTCAGTCTGGGATGTCTTATTGTTCTCTTACACCACGAAGGTCGTCTTGTTAGGCTATCGATCCGAGAGTCTCGAAATCGCCGACTTACCCATCGTTCCTGGAAATATGCGTGCCACAACCATCTTCGCACGCATGAAAGCTGCTTCAAAACGTGTCAAGCTTCGCGGACGTTGGAAACCTAAGCAAGGCTCTGGTTGGGAATTAGCGTACCGTCTGATGCGTGTAAATGCGGTCGTATTCGCTGTGCAGATTTCACTGGCGGCTGTTTCCGCA